GAGGAGACAGGCAGGTTGAAGATGGTGCCCATGATATTCCTATTGTAACGTATGAATGATTTGATATATCTTCAGAAATCCATCTATATCTTTGAACTAAACAAAATCTCTCCACAGTTCTCATCCAATTTCGAACAAGTGCTCAAAGCGTTTTTATTAGTTCACCGAATGAATACGAGTCTTTCATCGTTATCCATCCCAAAATGAAAGCCTTCTCAATATCAACTAGACTTGGCTTTGAGACTGTTGAATGTGCGCAAAAGTTATAAAATAACCAAAAAGTTTGAACAAATGAAAGATGCGTAAGTTCAACTCGCAATAGGAAACATTATCAATTGTTTCGATGCGTACCTGCTCTAGCTGAACAGCGAGATCTTCTTTTTCAGACTGAAGAATCTGTGAACGACGTTCAGTGACGTTAACTTGCTCGCGAATTTCGTCACGTTGATGCTGCTCATCCTCTATTTGAGTCTGTAACAATTTGAGAGATTCATCGTAGCTCTTGCAACGGTCAATTTGACGTTGATCAACGACAAAGGATACAAGTGTATGGAGATTCACCCTTCTATGAGGCCCACCAATCATTTGAGAAGGGGAATGCTCTTGTCATTTTGCTGATACAAGATAACAAGAGCTCTTCGTAATTTATCATCATCAATTACATCCCAAATGATCCATTCCCGAAAGAGTAGCGCAAAGATATGGCACAATAGAGTATCACCTGCAGTTCACGAATGTTGTCTTGATACTTCTTGATGTTCTTCTGTGCATCCACATTCGCTTTGTTCGCATGATCCAGAGCTACCTCAAGGTCCTGAAGCGTCTATCCTAACTGATCGAAAGGAATCATTATTAGAAACAATCGAATATATGACTATCACATATGACGTGCATAACGCTTACGTTGATATCGGACTCCAGCTTTTTCTTCATTCGCAACAGTTCCGTACGGCCGCGAGTTTCGGTCTCCAAACTGGCCTGAAACAACAAATCTGGCATCCTAATGCTGCACATTAGAACGAACAAGATCGTCGAAAAAATGTTCATTTATGAGATAATCTCCACGCTAGATAATGAAGAGCGATGACATCAGCATCGATACCTGCATGCTTTCCAACGCACGTTGATGATTTTTTCGTGTGTTTTCGAACTCCTCCTCTTTCTCGTTGATACGTTTGTCGATTTCGGAACGAATCTGCGAAATTTCCACCTGTGAACGTAAAACTTTACTCTCTTCGGCTTCTAGTGCTGCTTCTGCATCATCCAACGCTTGCTGAAACACACAAATGAATGAAATTCAGCAGCGAAATTCGCAGTACCTTAGATTACTACTTACTCATGACAATTGTACAATGCAATAGCTTTTTGGGGTAATGACAGAATGCGATTCAATTGGTTCAACAAATCATACTTAAACCCCCAAAAAGGTGAATTTGCATAATGATTTGACATCAAAGAATTTTTAAGAGTGGTGGTTGTGTTCTAAAGAGGAAGAATTAGCCTTAGCGTTTCCCGATGATGCCACAAACCTGCAGTTCATCTTTTTCCATTTCCAAACGTCTGCGACTTTTTTGCAATTCGTGAACATTTTTCCCACCCTCACTCAACTGATCAGTCAGGTCTTTCAGTTCTTGCGACAAAGCCTTGTTCTCGCGACGGATTGCTTCGATCTGCAATTTGTGACCATTTAGGATATGTGGTGAGATGATTCAGGATGATTGAATCTTCCCCTATCGAATCGACTTGAGATGTCTATAAGACTACTGAGATTCAGAAGAAATTGACGCAGCAATGGAGCCTGGAATCACCTGTTCAGCCGACTCATCCAGATTGCTACGTAGTCGGAAAACTTCAGTGGATGCACTACGAGCATCTCTTTGACTGGATTCCAACTCCTGAACAAGTAAATCGCATTTGTGCTTCCATTCATCCACTATTTTATCGAAACCTTTTTGCTTCTTGTCCATTGCATTCGCCAAGCTGTTTGCCTGAAAGTCATGAGCAATTGAACTCCTCTCAGAGCATTCTCGTTGAATCTGAACGATCTCGCTCATTTTTTCGGATGATTTCGGTCCTAATTCAATCCACATCATGACTCACACGTAGGCAACTGATAACAGAAAAGTTGTGGGCATAAAAATGACTCAAAGGGCATAAGCTTAGCGAAATTTTTGCCTAGAAATACTGTTTTTTTCTCCACACAAATACTTTCGGAGATGTGCGAATTTAGTAGAGCTGACCCGGTCTGCATCTATCTGGGCATCTTCAAGTTCTTGTGAAAGATGCTGACGACTTTTCTCCAGTGAGCTGATCTTTGAATTTGCATTTTCTAGTTGCTCTTGCAACTCTTGAAGTTTCGCTTGAAGCTTACGTCTGAAACATATAATAGCCGTAAGTACAGGGTGAGGCATTAAGTGATACTTCAAAATCATATGTGCTGATGAATCCATGTGAGATGACTCGATGCATTCAAAGCGGTATGGCGAATTCATTTCAAATCATTCATGCAGAACAATTGTTTGTTTTTACATTGGTTCATGATCCCTGAATGATTATATGTATGGAATGGAATAAAGACATTGACTACAATAACCTTGCATCTTCCAATTCCTCGGCTCTCGCCATGCCTTCACCCTCGAAACGTGTACGCCATTGTTGTGCTTCAGCGTTTGCCTTTGAAATCAGTCGCTGCAGCTCAGATTTCGAGTCCTGCTCCTCTTCGATGGTCTCACGCAATTGCTGGCATTCCAGTTGGAAGTTTGCATTCTGAAAGTGTCGATGTTTTGAAGTTTACACTGGTGATGTGACCTTTAGTTAGGTCAAAACAACAGAGGGACTTGTGGGCAGCGGAATTGTCGGTCAAACGAAGGAACCTGAGCGGCGAGAGTTTGTCGTTCACGCGTTTCTTGTTCCAGTTGGCGTCTCAACTCCTCAATTTGAGAAGATAGCTGTTGTTTGACGCGATTCAGCGCGGCCACCTGATTTTCAGCATCTTCTACTTGCCTGAAGCGACCGATGTTTTAGCGTTTAATTCATCATCACAACTGATCAACGATAACATCGTCGATGGAATCGCTCAGTGATCTCATCCGCGATCGTTGATGGTTTTTCCTCATCAGTTTTCGGTAAAAGTTTCGACTTGCACTTGTATTCAGTGGGATTACGACTGCAGTCGTAAAGAACCATCAAAAAGCAAGGGGATTAGAGAACACCTGAAAGCTACCTGTTCAAATCGTTATTTTCGGTGGTCACTTTGTTCTTATTCGCAATGAGTTCCTGCAGTTGGCGTGCTTGTTCGTCACCTTTCAACTGTACTTCAGTTAACTGAGCCTCCAACTGAAATTCACCAATGACATCACACCAATCATATTTGATGGTAAGATAGCTTACAATGTTAAGGTGATCGTGTAATGCAAAAAATTCTGTTCAGCAAAGAGAACAAATGTGGAGTCGATTGAATACGATACCTGCTTTGCGAGCCGCTCAATGTTTTGTCGTTGCTTATATTCAGCATCCAGCTGGGCATGCATGTCTTCAAGCTCACGCTGTTGTAGGCATTTTTCCTTTTCAACTCTGCAATTAGACGGGTTCACAATCAGTTTATATAAAAATGTTCATAGCGCACAAAAGGCGGAAGAAGAATTCAACGCTTTGCTCGTGACGATCAAAACTTTCACCAATTATTTTAATCGCTACAGTAGTCGATTACCAGCAAACGCTCAATAATTTATTGACAACTTGTGTCTTAACTTACTTCGCACGAGCTTTCTGAACAGTATCCAGCTGATCGGATAATTCCGCGACGGCATCATTGTGTTTCTTGCGTAAAGCTGCCATCGCATTTTCTGAGCTCAATGCCGTCTCTTCCTAAACTCCGATCCAAATATAATTTGCGCAAACAATTTTAAGTGCTCAACAATCAGAAGCAATGAACACACCCAAATCCACAAAATGCCCCATACTCGTTATTGTGTTCAAATGAAGCAATATGGAGCGATATTCTCAGCTATGATACGCGATCGTGCGGTCATAACGATCACGATCGTAACTTTCAGTTCTAGAATTATGGATATCACTCACAATGTCACGTCTCAGCTTGATGAGCTCAGCTTCTCGCTTCTTATTCAGCTCCATTTGTGCTTGGGTAGCACCTCCGGCCTCATCCAAACGATCACCAAGCTCCTCAAGTTCATTTTGCATCTCGCTTCGCATCTTCTCCGCCTGAAAATTACTACCTCATGGACGGGAAAACTTCTTGACCGGTGAGAAAATGTCATCAGTTATCTTTGAGAGGTAAAACCGAGAAACAGAGCTCGATATATTGCTCGGTCGAATACTTCAAAACAAATCGACTGCCACTATGGATATGGCAAATAATACGACTTCAATTTGAAGGTAACCCGAAGAAAGTATTCTCAAACCTTTGATCGCGCTTGACGTTCAGCCTCAAGCTCTTCTTCGAGTTCTTGAACTCGTGCAAGTACTTCTTTGATCTGACGTTGAAGTTTAGCGACTAGCGATTGTTCATCTTCAAGATGACTGCTCAACGAAACCATTTCGGCGTCCTTCCTTAAAAAAATGCAACGATTCCCTACATAAGCAGGTTCACGCACGTAAATAGAACTGTGAAGTTTTCAGTTCACAGCCCGTTGAGATCAGTTAAAATATTCCTAGAAACATACTTCTTCAGAGCGTTCTCAGATTCGTGTTTTTGTCTGATCAGTTCATCGACATTCTCCTGTGCCACTTTCAGTTCACCTTCAAGTTTCCGTTTCGCCTTCTCCAAATCTGCCTTGCTACGTTTCTCGCGTTCAAGTGCGTCTTCGACTTCGTCCATGGATTGTTCCAGTTTCGAACGAACCTTGTTCATATGATTTAACTTATCTTCTTCTGTTTGGATGTCTTCCATCAGCTTGCGATTCACCTCAAATCATTTCATTTCGGTCCATCGCAATGTTGACTGCATTCAGTAGTTAACTCGAGCCATCGCTCGACGCCTCACAAAAACGAGAAATTTATTCATAAGCAGTTGATATGACTTTGAAATCAGCTCGTAACAATCCCAGACATGACCTTGTGACCTTTTGAGATATCAAATTCAATTTTATGTCGCCTTCATTGTCTAGCAGACTGATGGCGTTTCTCGCTTTAATGAAAGCACTGAAATTCTGCACCTAGAAAAGCAAATAAATTTCACAGCTTCACCTCTTCTTGATGCTTCTTTTCCTTATTCGTTCTAGCAAGCAGCTCATCTTGGGAGGCCATCTCGTCCTGCAATAAGCATGGCATTACTTGCTGAATTAGACGTCTATCTCTGATGATCCTTTCACATCCATAAACCTCTTCTTCCAGATAACGTCCACAATTCCCTTCTTCCACGTAAATGAATTCCCTAATCAACCTCGATACTCCACCACAATTCGATGAACAAGTGAATGTGAGCGAATGAAAATTTCCACACACCTGTAGCGCACGAATTTGATGATCTTTGCTCTGTTTTTCCGTTTCCTGCTTCTTAATTGTATTCTCAAGTTCAGCGATAATTCTCTTGAAATTCTCATTTTCAGATTCCACTTTCTTTCTCGCCTTCTGTAGCGCTTCATTTCTATCCTCTTGCTCGGCCAATTGATCACTGAGATCGGTCACCTGCAACAACGCGTCAACATCGAAATGGTGGCCATTGGACAACACTACAGAGCGTCTTCAAGGGGAAAGTCCACAGACAGGATGTGTGTGTGGCAACAACTCTGAACGTTCTCGTCGTCAACATACCTGTTTCTCGACATCTGATTTAACAGCAAGGAGTTTCGCTGCACGCTCCTCACTTTCCGCATTGTTGTCACGTTCTTGTTCCAGTTGAACGAACAATTCCTGTTTTTCAGTTTTTACTTTGGTCAGCTCATCCTCCGTGCTTTTTCGTACCTTCTCTTCACGCTTCAACTTCTCTTCCAACTCCTTGCATTTTTTCTCGAGTGCTTCGAATTCCTCATCCTGAACAGAAATATTGAAAAACCTTGGCAATTATAACTGTGAAAGGCGTGAGCATGAAATGATAACAACGGAATATAGTAGCACTATGAAGTTCTAATGCTTAGCTCGATAACGAGATCAATAGAACGAGAATTTTACGATTAGTGAAATAACACTGTTTAACAAAATTTTAATTCGACTGAACAATGCGAGTGGACGGCATTCATGCAATAACTGTTTACGGAGTAGAGAATGACCTTTTTACTTCCGGCAATCAGCGGCTTAACGCGTCCGTAAAGCTTGAACCAACTCCAGTTACGAAGTGCACACCACTTACGAACATTGCGTTGAACGATGATTAGACCAGCCCTGAAATTTGAAGTTGATCAAGCGATCAACGGTGCATATGAAACCTTGCTGAGAACCTTTCACTGACTAAATAGCCTTTATGGAAAGGCTGTTTGGTCAGTGGATGCATTTATAAGATATGCAACTGAGGAAACCTTCAGGAGAACCCTATGAATACCACATTGGATATCAAATGAATTAAGTGAGATCGTTAACACTTATCATTCACCTTTCTTCAGGCTGATAAAGCTTTCATCAAAACATTCGCTTCTGATCGAAAATCAGTGTTATTGACCAGATGAAGTCGACTCGCAACTAACCTAGATTGAATTCGTTGTCTCAGGTCATATTGTGCGTAATAGTGTCTGCAAGCACTCTGGAATTTCGTGATAATATGCGAGAGCGCCTCATCGCGCATCTCCTCCAAATGTGCCAGTACACCCGCTTTGAAAAACACCTGAAGTAGAAGTTGGTGTTTACGGATGCAGAAAAACTGTGAGAGTGTAAAGCTGCCATCCAATGAACTGAATGATCACCTTCTGGTGACCAGTTTGGAATTCCTCTGGTTTGAGTGCGTTAACTTGGAGAAGCTTCTCGAGAATCTTCTCACTCGACTCTTTCACATCCTTGCCGCTTTTCGCCTCATCAGCTGCGATAACCGCATATCTAAAAAAACGGGACTTAGGGCATTCATATAATCCAGTAAATTAAAGAGTTTCGGAATTTTCAACAGCTCTTTATGACGCTTCTGCGAAAAACAAACAATTGAAAACATAAACTTAGAAGAATTTTCATATGTACTGAATTAATTGTTATGAAGATTGAAAGTCAACTTTTCATCCCTTCCAATCGTATGTAAGCCTCCATATTCACAATCAGGAAGAGTCTCAGTACTGGATAAAGTTAGAATTCCGATGAGTCTATTTTACCGGGTGGCAACAAATGGCTATAACAATACCGTTGCTTGAAATCGACGTATAGCATTCGATTCGGGAAACCTTTTCGACATATACGAATTCCTTCAAGTACGCCATTGCAAGTCAATTGATTCAACACGAGGTTAGCCTCTATCAGTCCTGAAAAGAAGCGATCTTTGAAAATAAAACCATCTCATTACTACTGAATTCGTCCTCAACAGGTAAATTCCATGGACTCTTTCAAGTTATCTGGACGGAAAATGTCGACCGTTAGCAAGCAAACTGATTTTTTAAAACCTGGAGCTTATTAATCTTGACATGGCAGTGTTCTCAGAAGTTCTGGATTATTTGGTCGTTTCATATAGTTTGTGCTTAACGAAAGCAATTTCTCGAAGTGATTGACTGAGTTGATCGGCTCAAAGAGTTCACCTGATTTTTTCTGTTCATTCGGAATGATACATCGAATAAAATGAGGATGCGTCTGATAGAGCATTGTCATGAGTTTGTTTAGTGATTCACGATACATCATCGATACGGTCATGAACGACGCTGATTTACCTTTCTTTTTGCCCATCGTCTTGCCTGCCTTGGCTGGAAAAGTAATAACTAGCACATTGGCTCCTCTATAACAACGGCAAAAGGAAGATTTTTCCAGACAAACGTTAAGCGAAAATTGATCGATACAAGTGATCACCATTGCGAATGTTTTACTGATCATTCGAACTTATCTATGAATCAGAGAAGATTATCGCTAGTCTGACAAAACTGCAAGTGAATGACAATGATCCGAGTGTATTTTGTGGAATCTGTTAAGAATACGAACTGAGTTTAGCGATATCCTCTTGGGTTTTGTAGTCTTCCCAAATTGCTGACATCAACGTCATGCCACCGTTTGATTTCAACACTTCAACGGCCGTATCGTTCAGAGGATCCTTGTTTTTTTCCAACCATCCGAGGACATTGTAACGCACTGTGCCCGCATAATGAACAATAGCTAAGTGCGCCTCTGCCTAGAAGTGTTTGTACGAAATTGTTGTAGTCATCAAATGAGTTTATCGATCACAGTATTTATCTAATCGAAATTACTGTTCACTTGCGAAACATTCACTGGAATGCACTTGTTTTTTTTTGGATGCAGCTTTATTCGTTTATCCGTTCCTCATTGTCAGACAGAACTACTTTTCTACTCACCACGACAATACAGGAGCACTGCGAGAAAAGCAGATCACTCAAGATAAATGAGGATAACTTAACGGCAAAGGAGAGAAATGAAGTAAATGATAGCCGTTCGTTCGTACAAAGCAAACGGATAGATGAGATTCGGTCGTGTAAGACTGTAAATAAGGAGGATGGTGCGCTAAGATAATTGAGATAAGTACGTTAATCTCTTGGCACGTCAGCGTTGCTTTCTCTTCATGAGATTTTGTCTTGTGGCTTATGAAATGAGTTCGTCGTCAACTAACAGTGAGGCGTTTCATGAAGATGTTTTTGAGTCGGAAGTAGGCATGAAATAAGTTCCTTGGCGAGAAATTATTATGAGCTGCTCATTTTACCTTCCCAGTCTGTTTGTTCACAAAAATTTCTGACGGGAGTTTATGTGACTGATTCTATTTGCTCATTGTCAGCGTAACTGCGTTACGATTACTTCGCATGAACATCAATTACACAAGCAGTCCTACTTGTTTTCCTTTCGGTGGTCTCGGCTTCTGGAAATTGGTATGTTTTCCGAGATGTTGATCGTTCAACTTCTGCGCCAAAGTCAAATCGCTTGCTTTTGGTACAATGCACTCTTCATCAAGCATTGAAATTATGCCTAAAGGCTGAAAAGCAATTAAGTATTATATTATGCATTAATGACGAGTGCGCACTTCGAACGGCTCGAATTCAAACCTTTTCAATCAGCTCAATGCAAGCTTGTAAATCGAGACCGAAATCAATGAATTCCCATTTAATTCCTTCACGTTGATATTCTTCTTGTTCCAGCACAAACATGTGATGGTTGAAGAATTGTTGAAGTTTCTCGTTCACAAAATTAATCCACAGTTGCTCGAATGAATTCAACTAAAATGAAAACAGTTCCTCAACATCATCATAAAGTTATCAAGAGAACTTAAATCTCGTTTCGGAAGGTCTCATCGAAAACTTCTACTCCAGATTGATAGGCTTCAAGGAAACGGCTATATGTGAAACCTTAATGGTACTATAAAAAACTTCCAAATACAGCACCATAATAATGAATTCCATTTTGAATCGCAACACTGCTCTACGAGGATGACATGATCAACAACGTTTCGAACTCATAAAAAGAGTGTTTCCTATTGATAACGGCTGTGTATAGGAATTATGAAGGCAGCAGATTTATAAGTTGAATGAGCCTACGTCAAATATTTCAAATCCAGCGATATCGAGAACTCCAATGAAGAAATCTCGACTCAAAGCTTGAGCGTCCAGTGTTTTGTTGCATCGTTTGATCAACCATGTGAACATTCGCGCGAACAATGCCTTTGCCAGTGCACCTACAGCCCAGTTCACCTGAAAATTCCTCAATGATTCAATGTGATTCCATGACGGTGTTATTCGACTGAATTTCTATCACGACATAATCTTACTCTTTTTTCGTCTCCATATTGGACCGCTGTTCGAGGAACTCACAGTTCTATTCAACAATTCGTAATATGAACGATTAAAAAAATCTCAAGACTGCACGTTCAATGGACTTGTGAGGTGACTACTCACTGAAATCAAGAGACGAATGAAAATGACGCTTTAAAATGCTGAACCTGCTCAAGATTTTGTCCTTTATTCACCCATTCGGTACCAACTTTTACATGCGGCTTCAAAAGCGAACCGATAAATTTATCTGGGTCCACGCACCAAAGTTTACAGGCCAAATCACCTTCTGCAAAATCGGATAGCATATATGGCTATGGACAAGGTGAAGGAATGGAAGAATCACGCAAAATGGTCATGCAAGAGTCAGCTGAAATAGTAGCGATGAAGCAGCCAGTATGTACCGGATTTGTCTTCGCATTCGGCTTGTTCTTCTCGAGGTCTTTGCTTGAATTTCATTTCACCCATATGCATTATACCGGCGACCAACTTGAACAGATCTGTTTTCTCTTCCTCACTGAAGCGCATAATATCGAATGACTCCTGTAAATTGAACACTTCGAACACCCTAATAGTACCAGTGTCTTCGAGTTTCAATCTTGCAGTTTCTATTCACCCTTGACAATTGTATGCATGGTTTGGTATTGCGTTCATACAACAGGCGATAATCAGTTGTTCACTTACATCCGTGATCTGCATTTCCTCTTTATCGTCAATTCCATCGATTGTGATCTCGGCTTGCGAAACAAAATGATAGCTGCGAATATCGCGAGTTAGGAACAATTTCTCTGCAATTCAAACCATTTTCCTGATGTATTCAGCTGTTGGATATCACATCATTTGAGCATTCAACACAGCTCATGTGCTCAATAATTTTATCAACATATTTTGAGAGTTTCAATCACCTTTGAGTCCGTTGATTTGTCCGGACATTATTTGATAGAATATATGGTATGAGCGCTCGCCAGCTGCCTGCTTAATGACACGCGATTTTTCCAGTAGATCTGCAATGGGATGGAGGTAACTAACTTTTATGCGTTTATGCAATTGGATTTCAACGATTAATTGCGAGGAAAATGTACAGTTTTGACATTCGAACTGGAACGTTGAAATGCAAAACGTGCGAATGGAATTTAGCTTTGATTGTGGTCTGGTTGGAACTTTCAATTCCAAACAACCACGAATCAGTCACATTATGTTTTTGGCGCTACTGCTTGAATCGTACTTAAGCGGAACTCTAGTCTACTCACTATCAAAACAACTAACAGTGTTCGATGTCTGCACCGGCCAATTTTCCGGTCGTGTTGAAATGAATACGGATAAATTTGCCGAATCGAGACGAGTTGTTGTTACGGACCGTTTTAGCGTTACCGAATGCTTCAAGAACGGGATTCGTACGAACGATTTGATCCTCAATACTGGCCTCTTTCTTATCGCCTGGCTTCAAAATTCTCCTGGAAATTTCCGGCGGCGCTACTTCTTCAGTCGTTCAGGCATGTTTCATCATTCCAACAGGACAGTACAGCGGATGATTTCATTGAATAATATTTGTGTTTTTTTGTTACACTTCCAAACCGAAAGTGTTTCTGAGTTATTAGCACGGTTCGTTTGTGTTTGGTAAACGGAACGTAGCTACTACGTGGGATGTGAGCTCTTATGAACTCTCTTTTGGTCGAACAAATATAATAATTCAGTAGAACATACGCAGCCTGTTGAGTGGCACCAACGGATGCGAAGTACGATATCACTTTCTTCGTATTCTCGGTTTTGCCGGCTCCTGATTCACCAGTGATCAGCATTGACTGATTCACTTTATCTGTGAAAATAACCGAATTCAAAAAAAAATTCAAAAACAATTAACAGTACATGATCGATAACTTGGTATAATTCGTTTTGATGCATGGAACAGCTTGGAAATTTTTGTTGAGTTATCGCTGATAATCATAACTCTTGATGTTGATTCGGAAACTCTCACGAACGTGCAATTTATTTCGTGTTAAAACTATATGAGGTTCTTCTGGAAATAAACTCCCTCCCTCCTAATAGGTCAGTGTAAAATTTGCGTTGTTGAAACTTAGTGTGCTGAATCGGTGGAATTGAAAGTGAGTCCATCAAATTGCAATACTGACCATTGATCATGTGCCTGTATGCTTCATCTGAAACTGAGAATAAGTGCGGTGGCATTTCTGCTCGACGTTTTCCAATGTACATTTTGCATACACTTTCCGTGTAGATAGGAAGTCGTTTGTAAGGATTGATCACGACACAAAACAATCCCGAATATGTCTGAAAACGTTTCGAGTCGCACCAATGGAGTACTCGCAATCCAGGAAGTATTTGGTAATGCATAGATTTTGGACAGTAAACGATGAATCCTTAGCCAACTCGAGATGATAAACGTAAATTTTTTGATCGAAATAATCTTAATGCTCGATGAGTATCATTCTTTCAATCATGTTTCATCATTTTTCGACCCATAGAACCAATGGAATCCTGTGGAATCACCAGGAATGTCTTCTCCTATTAGTGTGCTTTGTTATGTCCCCATCACGTCATTTCGAATTTCTCAGAAGCGTTCACATATAAGAGATTAAAAATCGTTGATAGAATGCGTAATTTGACAGCAATAGAAAGATAAGTGCTTCGAACTCGTTGAGATTTGTTAGTATTACATCGAAATTGATGTCTAAGTGAAATAAAACAACAGCTCTGCGGTACATTGCAAACAACTGTACGCCGCCACCAATGATCACGTTATTGCTAAATAACTTTGGTTTGAGCAATAATCGAAAATACTTCATAAGTATTGTTTTGAGAACTCTTAGATGTAATTCTGCTAATAAAACTGCTGCTGCATGCTCGAATAAGTAGTTGTGATTGTCTGTTGGGCAAACTTATAATCTATCAATAGGTATACGATGGTCTTCGGCTTTTACAGTCACACTAGTCTAGTTCTGTTCAGGTCTAATGGCCGACTGCAACACAGCTGCCTACAATAGTTTCTTAAGAGCGTTGAAATGGGATTCAATATTATTATCTTAAGATATCTCAAGATATCAATATCTTGAGCAAGATCCTAAATGTAGTTGAAGGCGCCTTTGCGATTATGATTCTGATCACTCACGTAGATCATCATCGAGTAGTATCGTTGGCGTAAATTGTGCAGCACTGATGCATCGTTTAAAAATGTTAAATTTGCCATATCTTCAGTTTTTTCGAACTTCGGCGGATTCATTTGTTGCACTTCATCCTTTTTGAGCGTTTTCTGAAAATCATTTGTGGTTCTTATCTAAGCTTATCATACACAAACGTTTGCTTCGAAATAACAAATTTGAATTGACTTTTAAGATTTCCAAAGTTTTGGCCACATTGGCTAAGTATTATGCCGGATCTTTTGCCTTGCAGAGTAACTGAAAGATGATCAGCACAAAATTAAGATATCAAGAACCTCAGTCCCCTTTGTTGTCACAACGACGATCTTGTCTCCTTTGCTACTTTTAATTTCAGCGGCCACAAAACCTTCTTCTGGATCAGCCACCCAGACGTTCTTCTTCGAGTCGAACTTTTTGGTGGTTGCCGCAAGAAGCTGCAGTTTCAGGAATTTAGTTTACAATTTACACCACCTCACAATCAGTTTACAGAGTCACTTCTCTTTAAAAATTTTGGTTTTCGTTTGAATCTTTTGAAATTACAAAGTCGATGGTCGTGTGGAATTCACATGGTTCAGCAAATGATAGTCTATTTCTGCTGCTGTTCGCGAGTCGCTAAATCAGCCATTTCACACTTTCGGCTTCCAACATTATGACTGGTTAATGCTGTTACCTGTTCTGGCGATTGACGCAAGTACACCCATCCAGGATCGTTTTCATAACCAAGAGCCATCGCTAAGCAAGAGGTTCCTTCTGCGTTCAGATGTGCCTTGTCCGGCTGGCGAAAAGTAAAATCCGGATATGTCTTATCGATGGATCTGCAATGTAATTTGCACATTTTATAAAAATAATTTGAACGGAAGTAAGAAAATTTTGCGATGAACGAACACATTGATCATCGTCATATCGATATATTTCGGAATTAATTCGCATGATGAACGAAATTCAAAATCACAACCGTGGCCAATAACCTTGATCAACTCATTCATCAGGACCATGATCTAACGGTCCAACTGAAGTGAACAAAGGAAGACCTGAGGTGAGGCAGTAACCGACTGTAAGGCGGATTGTAACCGAAGAATATGGGAGGATTATGAAGGAAGAGAATTTCAAAAAGGTGTCAACAGTTTATCTCGACTTATATACTGAGAAATGTTTGTATTAATCACAAAAAAACGTTTATTTGGTACTTCAACGAAACTTATTTACAGCAAGCAACTATTCAAGCGGATGAAGTCAACAAGCATCAACATACTCTGAAGTTGACTATAGGCTCATTCACTCAGTTTACAGAGACATTCAGTCGCCGCTCTTCGACAATTTGAGTTTTCGTTTGAATCTTCAGAAATTCTTCACGGCTCTCATTTGTTGAACTGTTATACAAATGACTGATGATCATTGCGTAGAACAAAAAATTTCGACATTTATCTCTTGACGTTGCTTTATTACTTATCATGTTATGCTGATATTAGATTCGAATTATCCCATCCATTCGGATTCTTTAGCATACATTTACTGTTAGTCGCATACGTGCACATAAAAATGCAAGCAAACACATCAATTCTATACTCTTAAACGCATAGTTCAAACAAAACCGTTGAAGCTCTAATGCTTTATAAATGCTAAATAAAACACGGAGACCATATGAAAGAATAGGTGTGGTGAGCTGAGGAAGTTTTTGCAAACATAACTTTCATCAAAAGCCCATTAATGAAGTTTTCATTGTAGTTAATGCAAATGGACGAAATTGGATCGGATAAAATAACGTTGAAATATGATATGAGAGCGGCGCACTTCCGTGATTAAAGACCGACCATAAATTAATGTCATTACTGGGACCTGGGTAATGTTTGAATTAGTAATAGCGGCAACGAACCATACAGTTTACTATTGCATCCAGTAGCTTCAGTCACCAGAGGCAGCATCCTACAATAACACTATCACCGTACATAATATACGATCATATGTGCGATGAATTATGTACGATGATGGCTATAGTGACTGAAGTTACTGGATACAGCAACCGGATTGAAAACAAGGGAAAGAGCGTTAGCGTCCGAAGAAAACTTGTGGAGTAGTTCAATGAATTCAAAGTGGCATCGAGCAGTAATCTTTGTACATGGCTGCTCTAATTAGTTTTAATGCGGTTACTCCAAAGGATATGTTTCAAATGGAGCGAGAAAAAACACATGTTTTACCAGATGGTCTATTTTATTATTTCGATCTACTACTGCTATGAATTGCACAAGATGATCAGGGAATTGTAGGCTGTTGTCTGGTGATTTGATTCGAAATAAATGATTCTCAAAGCCTGATGTTGGATTTCATTTCAAAGGTGCCTAGGACCCAACAATTTCGACTTGGGGAGATCTCAGTTATAAAATTCGTCTATTTGATAATACCAAATATTAACGATTCATCAATACTTCGGATGTAATCAAGGTAGCATAGAGATTTATAATAGTACTAACGAATTTGTAACAACGGCAGTGAAGGATATAGTTGTACTCAGTAGCTTGAGCTCAAATGTTTGCAAACGAGCGGATGAAGGCAGCAAGCGGCTATATCTTCGGCATACACTAAATCAACTCTTCATATGCACAAAATTTTTGTGTTGACATGAGCAGCAAAAAGAGTTGAAGCCGGAATATTGTTTGAGTCGCGCATTCTAGATATCTTTGTGAGCGTTACACTTGTTCTCAGAACTACGACGCACAGCTCAAACACAGCCAGTACTACAGTATATGATTAGATTAGAGTACAATAGACTCATTTAAACTGAACACCTTAAGATTTCAGATCTAGCTGGTTTTCAGGCAGAAATTGATCGCTCGCTCCATCAGTGTGCACGTACGTATCAGTTTCATGCAAACAATATAAAAACCGTTCTCAGCATTCGAAAGATACACTTTTGAGATGCGTCTGGTTTTCAGTCAATTATTTCGAGTGGAACTTTTATCAGATTGTACTCTGAAATTATTGTGATTGTTTGGCATTAATTGAAAATCCTTGGAATATTAATTTGTTCGAGTTATTCAATCCCATTCATCCATTCATTGGTGATCACCTGAGCTGGTTGTGGAGTATATTTCTCTGTGCCAGCTCAGGTCACTTCTTCAAGAACATAGAAAACTGTTGACTCGGCCCATTCACAAATGACAACAATGTTTGTCATTATGATCGAATGCTTCGATCACAGCAGTAAGCATCACTCGCGTTTCTTTCAGTGTTCCTCTTAACACCTATGATGTGACAGAAACTGAGGCTCTTGCGACTGACAAGACTGAAATCGTTCATAATCAAAATCAAAAGTTATAACTAAACTCTACTGTGAGCTAATGCAAGTATCTGGATGCAATTAATTCATTTATCACATCATGATGATATTCGTTGCAGATTTTCGATTGTTATCCCTTCTTGACATAAAACCGATGATTAACTTGCATAACTGAATGAATGTGTTTGTATTTATCTGTATCTCTTCGATGTACTCAGACGACTTCATTAGCAATACGATCTGGAATGAAGAGCGTTTGGGATGGATCTTGCTATGAGATATGCACTGTTTGCGAATGAAGTGCATCGTTTGTCTAACTGGTGAATCGTCGTCGTGAATTAATGACGAACGGTACGAAAGCGATGGGATGAGATGGAATGGGATAGGATGGGATGCATAGTGTAAGAAACAAATATTTGTATGGTGTACCATTTGTGTATGCATACGCGTGCTGCAGTGGTCGGGTGAGAATGAGAACGATTCACTTGAAGTGGATGGATGGATGATACACTATGAATACACTGGAAAGGAATTTATTATCACGATCAGACGGCAATCTGCACGTTTCTGTAGAACAAAACGAACATACCAACCAGCCAGCCATGCCCACTTTTGAAAATTCAATTTGCTGCTGATGCGTCGATTTTTCAAGCAATTTCATTACGGTGAATACACATGATGAATCGCTGGTATCACTTCAAGTGGTCAGATCTAAAGAGTATCACAACTGCAAGGTCATGTTTCTGGCTTACAATTAGTCTAATGTATCGAGTCATCCAATACCGTGAGTCTATCGTACCACATATCTAAGTCAAGAACGATAAACAAATCCCAGTTCCAAATATTTGTTTCACTGAGGCATTTGCCAAGGAAATTATTGATGCTTTGGGTAGATTGCGTTCTCCTTTTCCACTGAACACATCAGCAAATGAGCACAGAAAACGGACAAAGTTACGAACTTATTGTCTTCAATGGGTAAAATTTTGCCTGTCATTGCTATCGTTGTTGCTGTTTGCTTTCATAGAACACTTTAGAAAGTTTAAATTAGAGAAAATCTTTGGGATGATGAAGTCATCTTTCCAAAGAACTCAGTTGGAGGCAGCACTAACCGCTCATATAAATGAGTCGTACTTATTGAAAATTGGTTGAAAAAGGACGATGTACTTAGTCAGGTTAGGATTCAAAAATATATTCTCATCGGTTATCAATGCTGGGAGATAATTAATTAACATATAATTGGAGGTAACATCGCTCAAATCGCTGGTGAGCATCCGACATGGGTAACTTGGCTCATTCGAAAAACCGTCCATTCACCTTGACAGTGGGGAAATGGTACTCCACCGACCGACCTACACAAACTGTGCATCAGGACAACNTGCTGGTCTTTGTGAAGCAGATGACTTTCCCATACAACCAAGTGATTAGCTTACAGTAAAACTTTATGCTTTTTATATTCAAACTTCGAGTCTCAGATTGTCATTGCAATTTCATGCGTTTTACTGTCAATTCCCACGATCACGCATACATCCTGTTTAACCATAAGATTAATGTTATTGAATATGATATTTATTGTACGTAATGCACAAATTCACTCGTAATCAATAAAATCCTTATAGTTTGATCCTTAAAGACTGCCATCATTAGATTGTCATCCTTCACATGACTGTAATAAATTTGTTCAAAATGACCTCGTTCATATGTGCCAATCATCTATCACACTGCGCTGATGCAACATAATTAATTCTCAACATTATCATCATAATTAGTATGCAGTATACATTGTATGATATTGATTGATTAGGCGTATTTATCTAATCACTGAAATTTATTGCGGTGGTTCGCAATAACTGAGTTGATTTGATTGAGAAGCGAGTCAAATCTTCAAATGCATTCAGGTATGAATTTCTCAAATACGAGTTATGAAGGCCTCCGTTGGATTGAGAGAATCGTGAAATTGCTTCGATAAACTGATACGATAGATAGCGTGTCAGTATGATCACATAAACACGAACTGGTTCTTGTTTTACACACAATGTTGCATTTCTTTTTATTGTTGAGGAGATCTCGTCAATTGGCACCGACAAGTAATTTCAATTGACAGAAGTAATTTCATCGCAGTTTTTGTTTTTGGAACGTCCATTTATTTCCTTCATCAGAGCGATATTCGAGACATAAGCGACCTGACTTATTGGATCATTCCATTCGCATCTCGTTTTGATCTTTTTGATTTATAAGGGCA